TGACATTTTCGAGCGAGTGATGATGCTGTTAGCCGTAATTTACTTCTTTCCAAGCGGCTGCATCGCTCCTGATGCGATTACATGTCAGGAGTCCCTCGATAATGTAATATACTAATCTAAATCAGAACCCATCATCAACTTTAAAAGCTTCCCCAGCTACGAATTCAATTTCTGACCCTACCGACTGAAAGCTTTGGCCTCCAGTGATTCAGATTTGTCCTCCTGAATATGTAATATGTTTCGAAATTGCTACGGCTGGGACGACGCAAATGCAACAAATGGAAATGATGATCTCGATAAACATATTCCAAATCTTATATTTACAAAGATAAGGAAAGAGGCAACATTTTACCAACACCAAATACAAGAGAATTGAACCATTTTATAAAAGTTTTTTTAATACGATTGTTTCAATAAAGCAACAGTACCCGTTTAATTTTATTAAACAACAATCTTCTTTATGCGACATTCGGCTAATGCACGTCCTTTTTCGTTAAACGCGTGATATTAAAGTCCATTAATCATCGTCGTACCTTCGCGAAATGGCTGTTATTGTTTTCGTCGAATAGCGCGTTTATGTTTATTGCCTATAACGTCGTGGCGAAATAATGCGATGCAGCGCGGCGGTTAAACCGCGTCAACAACCTAACCGAATTTTTGCCGCTGCAATAGTGGCCATCGCTTAATCGAATCAAGATTAAGTCCGGGCCGGTTTCACTTAACCGGATGACAAGTTACAGGATCCGCAGATGTTCGTAATTGAGTTAACCGATCCTGTAGTCCTCCTATTATGAATCTTTAATTAGCCAACCTAGGAATCGCATCCACGATGGCATTTGCATAGCGAAACCGATGCCAAAAGTGCCATTTCCAAGACCCTAACAGAATATCGACACCGTGGATAAATTACAGATTGCCGTATTGGCGCTAGCTGAATTCGATTAATGTTGTTGTTTGTTTAATGTGTCGTTTATACCGTCCTGGCGTGTTTTATGGGGGCGTTATGTACGATTGTTTTCATTTTACGACCACATTTTTAAATTTACTATAAAGCTAAATAACGAATAAACGCAACGAATTTGTTGCATTATTCACGGTTTTTATTGCACATTTTTATAGACGAATTTACACATGCATCGTCCCAATTCTACTCAATGTAGCCTTTTTTTCACAAATTATCATACTTTAGATATATCGATTAATTACTTCGTTGCTGAGTTTCTCGACTAACGAATTTATTGACTGTTAAAGTCGGAGCTGTATTCTTGCAACTTTCAAAGTTAATTGCGAAGAAACTTTGCACTGAGATAATTTGCATGTTAGAAATAAAATGTCGTTGGAGTAATATTGAGTTCGAGAGATCGGCATAGCAGGCGATAATTTTGAAAAATTAAGTTAAATAATATAACCTTATTGAGGCAGTGCAACATTTAAAATCTGTTTTAGTATCCTATTTTGAAGCCTGTTTAAAAATCAAATTAAAGGACTTTAAAGTTAATGTTGGTTTAGAATGCCCTGATTACTATGGACTTGTTGAGAAAAATTTCACATTCTACACCAACATTAATTTTAAAGTCCCTTTATTTCGATTATGAAACTGGCTTTTGCGACATATTGTAAAAAGTTTCTGAAAGTGGTACTAATAGTACCACCCATTTTTTTTAATGAATTATTAAAGATTTATATACTCGTACAAACACAAAGTGCTACTTTCAGGGCAGCTTAACCCGTAGACTACTTTACATTCTGTAAAATGAAAAACCATAATTTTTCGTTTGTAAATTTATTTAAAAATAATTTTCCACCTCACTAATCTAAACCCCGATATCACGACCATAAAATATGAAACCCTCAGATATAAAACGCATAGACATATGCATTCCAAAGTAATATTTACGATCGCGCGAGTTATACACATTTTGACAATCGTAATTCAGTCAAACAACGTGATTTATAACCAGCCATAACCGAATTGTTCTCTTCCTCGACACTCTTTCGCTCTCAAAAATCCCCAAACCCGTCACCTGTCCAATCGATAGCTCAATTTACACAGATCACAATATTTTCCATTTAATCAGTTTAGATCAGTTCAATTTTAATTTTAATACTGTCACGTTTCGGCTTAAAAATGATTTAATACTAATAAAAGAGCTCGTCGATTAGAATTTATCACCAAGCCCGATTTCAAACAGAGATCGGGAATTTTTATTAATTCTAGGATACAATTTTTGTTGGACAATCAGAAGCAATATTTTCAAAATGTTGCAATTTTAATGTCATTCAGTAAATAAGGAGATTTAAAACACTTCCCTTTTGGCTCTCGGGAGGAAAAATGTTTTTAATTATCGTTTTGGCGCGCTATCGTCCTCGCTCCAGCTTAGGAAATAACGACGTTATTTTGCGAAGCCGTAAATAAAGAACATTACAGTTTAGTTTTACGGATTTTAATAAACCCTAAATACTGACGGCGAATGCATTTAAAAGCTCGGCTTTATGCGAAATTAATGTTAGACAAAAATACAGCGGCGCTTTCCCGCTGTTGGCCCGTAATTAGACACTCGTATGTCTGACGTATTTGATAAATACGAGGCCAGTTTGCGTGCTGAACTTCACCAGAAAAGCTTTAATCATTCGATCTCTTATCAGCGCATCCGCAAACACTGAAAAATCACATATGCTAATCCTACTTTCAAAAAATTTCGACCTCGACTTTTCAACTGGAGAAAGAAAATTCTTTTAAGGTAAACGCCTTTAATCAACTATGTAAATCGTTTAGATAATAAACTTATATAACAGTTACATAAAAATCAGATCGAGGGAAAAATAAATATTGACAATAATCAAAAACATCAATGTTTGTCTGAGAACAGAGCAGCTTCATTAGTGAGCGAACTTTTCCCTGAAACACGAAACGCTCCAACTTTTCCATAAACTAATATCTCAAAGATTGTTTCATGAAAACAAAACAAATAATTAATAAACTTATTTTTCGATAAAGAGCTTTTCTCTCTACAAAAGCGTCTCGAATAACCCCCATCATATATTTACGACACAATTATCCGATTATCCAATTTAATTTCCATGAAACATGAAGCATTTTCGTGTCACCCATCTATATTTATTAAACTTGATAGTCTTTTTACAACACGGAAAAAAAGCAAAAAGCTCTTTTATGTCCGTCCCAAGACACGCATTAAAATCACAATTAATTATAATGGCGCTTCAGGTGTACATGACGAGAAGATCGTAATTATTAATGACCACACCCCATTGCTTGTTATATGACAGTATTAAGGCGGAAACAATAGAATACATCATTGAATTGAGTGTGCCCCCATGTTTGGTCTGGTAGTGGCATTCCTCACTTTGTTCCATTGTCAAAGGACTCCTGTCACTGTTTACAAGATCGTGGTGCCGGTTTTTATGCAAATTCGGCTTCCTGGACCTTTGTTTTGTATGTTTCAGATGCGCTAACAATTATTACTCTTGCAAGGGGAGCTTTTTGATAGAATTAATGCAATTTTAGAGACACAAAGCTTTAAATCTAGAACTAAAAGTAAAGTACAGCAGAACCATTTTTTAGGCTATTTCAAGTAGATTTGTGATTGGTACGAACTTAACTGTTACAATTCAATTGTTTTAATTTAATAGTTAAAAAAGTGTTTCTATTTTTATCCACGAGACGTGATTTCGTAGATCAAGTATTCAGGTAGTATGTACCTACCGAGATAGTACTGTTTGCTTTTCAAAATTCTTTACATCTTTGACAAAGTAACATAAAAATGTTTGTATAAGTAATTGTTGGTGGATTTCGTCACGAAAATGTCTTTTATCAGAAAGTACTTTAGTCTGAGTGTCCCTAAGTCCTTTCATTAGTGTTGTCTGGTGAAAATTTTTTCGCTCTTGTATTCAATTGCTGTGAGAGCACATTAAAGCCGTACAATAAACGTTATTGATGTCTCTGGTTGTGTCAGAAGAAGTAGGTCTTTGTTTCAGACGCATCAATTCCAAAAGAACAATGATAACGTAACAAATGGTTATGTTATTGTTGTTATCGAAACGAGCGAAATGATTCATTGCTCTTCTTACGTCATTAGTGAAATTGTTCGAATATGAATAATGTATGCGGAGAGATTCGACCGACTTGAGCGCGTGTTAAGAGAGAGCCGTTTTTCGCCGGTTTATTGTTTAACAGGGTTTTTAGGCGGGCAACATCCGAATTCGGTTTTGCCGATTGGATTAGATTATGAAGGGAATCATCGAATCGAATAAACTAACAGAGCGTGAAGCTCTTACCAAATATTAGCAATAAGTAAAAGAGGCAATCGTTGCGTTTTGCGATGTGTTTCTCCATTTATTTCCCTTGTTTAATTTAATATCAAAATTCCCCAAGAGACTCGCCAATTTCCCGCGGAATACTATTTTACAAATATTAAAAATTCTTTTCAACTTGAAATATTGGATTTTTACCCTAACTTCAAACAGATTTTTTTATTAGCTGATGAAAACGCTTGCAGATTAATTTGAAAGTTGGACGTTATTCGCTAAGGGCTGAGAGCCCACATTAAACATACTACTTTAACTCGATTTGTAACCATTTTTTTAACTTTCGATTGTTCAATCAAATTTACTTTACGACTTAATTAAGATTCCAGACCATTCCAATTTATCAAACTCAATCAGAACGCCTCTAGCCACAATAAAACAGAACCACACTCAACCTAATTTTGAAATTTTCCGTGATTCGAATAGGTTCATCTAAAAATCTCCGACTCTAGCCAATATTTGTTTAGGATGATTTACCCTGTTGTGTTTGAATTTAATCTCACCAGAAATGTAACAATGATTTTTTAATATCATCGGTCTTAAGTTAAAATAATAATAATAAAAGAAAGTTTCTTTGTGTGGATATTAATCAATTATTGTTTTTCCATCCAAAGAATAGCCATTGTTTCAATGCGTAGGAAAAGTAAATGTTTACAAGGAAAAAGTTTACTTACCAATTAGAAAGCCTCCAACAATGAATCAAAGCGAATTGAATTATTCCCGTTTCCTACCTGGAATTAGGAAAAAAATTAAATACGAATTTGAATCATCAATCATAGTTATAGCGTGTTGAGCACAGTCCATTACAAAATTAATTTCGAAAGAATTCCCTCCTTGCAATTAATTACAGTAATGTAAATAGACCCCCGGTCCAGTGATCGACTTTGACATTGTCCCGTCTTCAGAAAATCGGCATGTGGCAACAAATAATTTATTCGAAAGCCATTAGAGTTAATTGGAGTCTTGCATTGTTAATTGACGATCCATAAATCGGCACAATTGTATTAAAATGTTACAAAAGAGCGTATAACAAAGTGTTTGGGATTCAATAGCCGTCGCCGACAATTGAGAAATTGTCATTACGACTTGAGGAAAAATAATCGCGAAATCGCCCAAAAGTCGGATACGTTGCGGGTGATTTAGGTGAAATTCTGTGTTTGCGGTCTGATTGTTGAACAGACCGCGTTTCCAACAAATTGCTCGGACAGATGCAAAGAATGGTGTTTACCGTCGGATTTTTTCGTTTATTTTAATTACAGCCGACGGCGGAACATAAATAGAGAAGTTAAGACATGTGTGCCATCAGCGAGATGCACTAATTTAAATATTAGGTTAATGAAACATAAAACTTAGAGAGTTAAACAAATGCTAAATAGCCAGTCTGTTAGACAAAAAATTACGGCTTTCAAGCAGAAACACTGACTAATTCTTTTAACAAATAAATCAAATTACTGATTTTCCAAGTTCCAAAAATATTACGTATTTGAGAAACACTATCAGAACTGGGAAAAAAAATAATTATAAGCATCTGAATATTTTTTTTTAATATGTAGTTATTTTCTCATTGCCTATTGAGACTATAATTGTATCGCACATATGTTGGCCTAATTTCGTTACAACAAACATACATTTTTAGTGTTTAAACAGAAGCAACTATAAGAAGTTTCTACAACACTAGTTTAATTTTTTAAAGTATTATTTACGGTACCATTTTAAGTACTGCAAACATCAGATGCAAAAAACAATAAACAGCCTAAAACAGTGTGATGTTCTTTGGTTGCCACCATCACTGCAAGTAAAAAAGCCCTAAGCTAAAATTGGCTATACGCTTCAGAGCCGTCGCGCAAATTCACCTCTCTAACCCATCAAATTCCTTTCTTCCGTTTACTCTTAATTCTTGACTCGTCTGCGGCCCATTAACTGTTACGTTACGTCCCGTAGAAAATAATAAAATTTTTCGCAGAGGGCGATTGCGAAAGCTCGATCCGTAGCGTTAGCGCGTTGATGATTACATTACTGTAAATTGCTTTTTAATGTTCAAAAGCGCATTTGCCTGGTTTAGCAGATATAAAACATTTACGATAAATTACGACGATGATATAAAATATTTTCCCTAAAAAAATTCTAGAATATAATGCATTGTTAAAGGCGCGAAACGGAAACAATTAAAACTGCACCGCTTTCCTGGAGAATAATGTCATACAAAACAAGAGAGTGTCGAAAGACTGGATCTTTAATTGGATTGTTGACATTCTGGTATTCTAACACAATTACGCCGAAATGCCGACTGATGAAACTGATGCGACGCTGAATTCGCTGCACGTAAATTAAGAAAATTGACGATATTGTATGGCGGGTGCAATGAGGGACACGTAGGAGGCTGACGAAATGGCAATTTGAATGGCGTTATTGTGTTAATTGGGGACAAAGACACGACAAACATAGAATTCAAATTTTAATAGATTTTAAAGACAAAGTTGTAAATTTTTGGTAGTACCAAAATAATATTTCAGTTTAAAAATTTTCAATTTTTTTGTGTTTCAACAACAAACCCTTTTGTTTACTCTGAAAGTATTTTTTAATTACTTGATTTTTAAAAACAGTGTTACAAATGCGTTATCTTCAAAAAGTATTAACTTCCGAATACCCGATCTAATTGAACTGTAAATAATTAACTTTCCGTAATGGGATTTTTGCTTCAAAGAGCCAAATTCCTCAATTGGTATTAAATGTTTTATAATCTCTAATGGCCGATTAGAAACTCTGTCGGGTAATAAATTTAGCTCAGCGTTCACCACTTTCTTTTAAAGTTTCATTAATTTTTTTCTTCCCTCGTTATTTAAAATAACTAAACAATTTCGTCCTTTTTTCATCGTGATTGAGTGTTGATTTTTCTAATGACATAATCATTCCTTTCACTGTTGCTCAATTAGGTTTTTTCGTTCCCGGACAATTTTAGGGAAGCGTAAATTGGACTGATTCTCGGGATAATAATTCTTTGTGTTTTCTTGTAGTTGGAACAACAATTCGCACCAATAGTTTGTACACACACAGTGAGCTACAATCTTCCGCCAATTAGTGCCGAATAAGTTGCTGCAATTTCAATTTAGTACCAGTAGAAAGAGTCAAGAATGTGGAAGAGGTTTTCTCGAGTTGAACCAAGGCTGAATGATTCAAGAGTCGTTTCAATGTCAAAAAATTCAGTTTGTGTGTGAAGCGAGCGATTAATTTGGCGCATTGTTGATTATTATTCGATTGCCTCCCAGCGGTGGCGGAATAGCAATAATAATAATAAGATCGAATCGCCGGCAAGATTATATAATAATAATTGTAATATTAACATGAGTTTGCTTAACGAAATTACAAAACAATTTTTGTGTTTTTGATCAAACCGCAAACATGTGGAGTAATTACTCAAGCGGCTCGCCCCTTTCATAATCTACTTACTAACCGTCGAAAAATCCCTTTTCGCCTGTGTTTATTTTAGCGAAATCTAGGCATTAAGTGAAGTAGTGTCAGCTGGTGAGCTAAATGAAAGACTTTTTATCACTCCGGGAAATGTAAATAAGGTAAAGAGCACGTGAGCTTTGTTACTGCAACGCGTGAGTTGAGAACTGGGTCGATGTCGATCGATTTTTCTTAGAAGGAAAATGCATCGGCGTGGTGTAAAGTTGAAGGTCTTAATCGGCATGATATCGGTAATCTCGTGTTCAAAAGCGTGGCTTTTATAATGAGAAAATAAATTGTCGCGATGTTTGCCCAGTGACTGTGGGAACAAGGACACAAGAAAATTTTATTTCTAGAGGAACCTATCATTACACAGATATAAATAAATCTTGCTCAATATTATTCTATTTAGATGCGGGTTTAGACTAATTATAAGCTCTCCCACACGATGTTACCACATTTGCATTTTGACACGTCTTCACATGGGTCTGTAGTTTGGATTGCAAATAGGAAGACTCCCACCGTTTGTTTTCGATGAAAGTCGGATTGTGATGAGAGAAAATTAAGCGATTATTTAAGAGAAGTTGGGTCAGATAAAATAAACTAAAGAGGTACATACCTGTTGGATTGATACTGAAAGAAGCGCTAATTTATTGACTTGTTTGCTCATTATAAAAATAAATATTAATTATCATTCTATTTTGATGTTTGCGCTTGTCATTGACTCGATTAGAGATGATTTCTATTCAAAACTACTACAGTACTGCTTTACAAATAACGTTTTTTTTTTATGTTTTATTTTTTCGTTGATTGGTTTCTTAAATTTTTTGCTAATCATCTTGTTTGTTATTGACGCTCACGCGAGAAAATATCGATGTTGTAAACCCACAACCATTCAGTACGTAGCGTGGGTAAGTAGTAAAAAATCTCATTGTGTATGCAGAACCTTGCCAATTATAATTTCTTTATCATCTCTCCCATATTTAATATCGTGGCAACTCAATGGTACCGCCTCCTCCCCTATTAATATTTCATGTAAGGTCTTTGTGCTGATTTCTTCCGTAACAAGATGTTTTTCATGAAATTCCAAGAAGCCAATTTATAGCAAACTAGTGAATGAGATGCCATAACTTCATATTTTACTAGCGCAAGAATATGAAAACAATTCAATAGATAGTGCTTGAACGTCTTGTTAGCGTTCCTCTCGTTTTAAAATAAGGGTAAAAATGTCGGCGTAGTTGCAAGAGGCAAGAAGTAGTGGAATGTAACCCACCCTAGAATAAATTTACGATGTCACGAACCTTCAATTAGTCAACAGGCTTGTTGTCTCATTATGTCCTAGAAAACCCCATAAATACTAAATATCATTTAACCTGGCAAGTTTCCATGCATGTGTATAACGTAATGTTTAATTATTTGTCACGAGCATATATTTAGGGTAAAATACGAGCTGAATAACCCGCATAACTTAATATAATACACGACAGCGAGTCGTACTTTTTGACACGAATTACGATTTAATCTGTTCGTATTTTGGTGGCGTTTATCCCGTCTTTGTAATTTTATAATTCCACAAATTCAATACCTCTCGGTTCAGTTACGGCCAATTTCCTTTTTAATTACACCGAACGAATATATTACCCCCTAATCCAATTAAATTCGTCCAAAATTCCAGTTATAAACACAAACCGATGAATAAAATTTCTTTTATTAATGAACTCACTCGTCTTTGAAAATTTTCATTAAACTTTCATTGGAATTATTGCGGGCCTCGCTCGTTATTAACAGTAATTTGAGACGTCGTCGAGGCTTGTATTTCACAACGAGTGCTATCAATAAGAGGCGCTGTCGGCACCAGAGCTGGCTTCTTGTGACTTTTCGTAATATTAACTCTCTCGCCAAGCTCGGCGCAAAATTACTGCCGCCATATAGAACGGTAATACAACTCTTATGATGCGAGTGACACTCTTTAATATAAGGAAACGTTCCAGTTTTATTGTGGTACAGTTTCGGACGAGATAAGATCCTCCGAGAAAAAAACGATTTCACATTTTTTTCGACGCCTTGAACCTGACCGCTCGACTCAATATCTGCTAAGGATACTTTCTCTGCTTCACTGCTGCCTAAGACTGGTTGGGGCGACCTCAGCCGTGACCTTAGCAGGATTCGCCAAACGCGAAATGTAAACAAAACAAACAAAATTTTGAAAAGTTTAAAAAAAAAATTATTTGCCTGCGGTTGAAGTAAAGAAAGCCAAAACTGTCTTACAGCTATAATTAATTTA